ATATATTTCTCTCTACTTCATATATTTACAAATAGTAAATGCATGATGTAGTATCATGCATTTTGTGATGATTGAGTGTGTGTGAGAGTGTGTGTACTCACCTAGCTGTACTCACCTAGTTGTGTCTGCAGGATCGAGCATTGACTCTTGGATCCCGCCTTTCGAGCATCGGTTGTTTACAGCAATGACTCCTGTCCCATTTCCCTATCATACTTGGTTTTAAAATTATGAATAGTATTTGCTTCCACAACCTGTTCCTGAAGTGCATTCCTCTCAGACAGTAACAAGAGTGCGAGATCAACAACGTGATCAAGTACCCTATGATGCCACCCATTGTGCTACCATTATGGGCAGGTTGTCAGCTGTTCCCACCAACCCGTTCTCGCACTTGCTTATAGTCAATATTTGGCTTATGAATACGTGCATATGTGACATATTAATTTATTGTGAATATTTGAGTTTACCTTGAAAAGTTGAATAGAAAACACCGACCTAACCTAACCTTCTTAGTATATTAAGATATTACAGTTAGTACTGAACCTATACCTATATTGATATTGCAGTTTTATTAAAATAATAAAACGAAACTAAAATATTTAAATAAATTTTAAAGTAACTCAGGATATTGTCAAATTTTGTATAAAATCTCTTTTGTTTAATAAAACTGAGAGGAAGAGTTAGTGCCTTGAAAAAAATATGGCATGGAATAAGTCACATATGTACTTATTTATAAGCCAAATAGTGACTATAAGCAATAAGTCATATATGTGCTGTCTTGTGCAAGAGCGGGTTGGATCCCACGTATGGGGATAGGGATGGGGGTTGAGGGGGGGGGGGGGCATGGAGAGAAGATCGGGACACTTCCGATCTTCCGATACTCTCACACTGCCAGTGTCAGAGTATCTCACACTGGGAGATAATAGAGAGCTTCTGCTAGCCTCACACACATAATAGGGAGCTTCTGCCAGCCCCACACATAATAGGGAGCTTCTGCTAGCCTCACACACATAATAGGGAGCTGCTGCCAGCCTCACACACATAATAGGGAGCTTCTGCCAGCCCCACACATAATAGGGAGCTTCTGCCAGCCCCACACACATAATAGGGAGCTTCTGCCAGCCCCACACACATAATAGGGAGCTTCTGCCAGCCCCACACATAATAGGGAGCTTCTGCCAGCCTCACACACATAATAGGGAGCTGCTGCCAGCCTCACACACATAATAGGGAGCTTCTGCCAGCCTCACACACATAATAGGGAGCTGCTGCCAGCCTCACACACATAATAGGGAGCTTCTGCCAGCCCCACACATAATAGGGAGCTTCTGCCAGCCTCACACACATAATAGGGAGCTTCTGCCAGCCTCACACACATAATAGGGAGCTTCTGCCAGCCCCACACATAATAGGGAGCTTCTGCCAGCCTCACACACATAATAGGGAGCTTCTGCCAGCCCCACACACATAATAGGGAGCTTCTGCCAGCCCCACACACATAATAGGGAGCTTCTGCCAGCCCCACACATAATAGGGAGCTTCTGCCAGCCTCACACACATAATAGGGAGCTTCTGCCAGCCACACACACATAATAGGGAGCTTCTGCCAGCCTCACACACATAATAGGGAGCTTCTGCCAGCCTCACACACATAATAGGGAGCTTCTGCCAGCCACACGCATAATAGGGAGCTTCTGCCAGCCCCACACACATAATAGGGAGCTTCTGCCAGCCCCACACATAATAGGGAGCTTCTGCCAGCCTCACACACATAATAGGGAGCTTCTGCCAGCCCCACACATAATAGGGAGCTGCTGCCAGCCCCACACACATAATAGGGAGCTTCTGCCAGCCTCACACACATAATAGGGAGCTTCTGCCAGCCTCACACACATAATAGGGAGCTTCTGCCAGCCTCACACACATAATAGGGAGCTTCTGCCAGCCACACATAATAGGGAGCTTCTGCCAGCCCCACTCATAATAGGGAGCTTCTGCCAGCCTCACACACATAATAGGGAGCTTCTGCCAGCCTCACACACATAATAGGGAGCTTCTGCCAGCCCCACACACATAATAGGGAGCTGCTGCCAGCCCCACACATAATAGGGAGCTTCTGCCAGCCCCACTCATAATAGGGAGCTTCTGCCAGCCTCACACACATAATAGGGAGCTGCTGCCAGCCTCACACACATAATAGGGAGCTTCTGCCAGCCCCACACACATAATAGGGAGCTGCTGCCAGCCTCACACACATAATAGGGAGCTTCTGCCAGCCTCACACACATAATAGGGAGCTTCTGCCAGCCTCACACACATAATAGGGAGCTTCTGCCAGCCCCACACATAATAGGGAGCTTCTGCCAGCCTCACACACATAATAGGGAGCTTCTGCCAGCCCCACACATAATAGGGAGCTGCTGCCAGCCCCACACACATAATAGGGAGCTTCTGCCAGTCCCACACATAATAGGGAGCTGCTGCCAGCCCCACACACATAATAGGGAGCTTCTGCCAGCCCCACACACATAATAGGGAGCTGCTGCCAGCCCCACACACATAATAGAGAGCTTCTGCCAGCCTCACACATAATAGGGAGCTTCTGCCAGCCCCACACACATAATAGGGAGCTGCTGCCAGCCCCACACACATAATAGGGAGCTTCTGCCAGCCCCACACACATAATAGGGAGCTTCTGCCAGCCTCACACACATAATAGGGAGCTGCTGCCAACCCCACACACATAATAGGGAGCTTCTGCCAGCCCCACACACATAATAGGGAGCTTCTGCCAGCCTCACACACATAATAGGGAGCTTCTGCCAGCCCCACACACATAATAGGGAGCTTCTGCCAGCCCCACACACATAATAGGGAGCTTCTGCCAGCCCCACACACATAATAGGGAGCTTCTGCCAGCCCCACACACATAATAGGGAGCTGCTGAAAACCCCACACACATAATAGGGAGCTTCTGCCAGCCTCACACACATAATAGGGAGCTGCTGCCAGCCCCACACACATAATAGGGAGCTTCTGCCAGCCCCACACACATAATAGGGAGCTTCTGCCAGCCCCACACACATAATAGGGAGCTTCTGCCAACCCCACACACATAATAGGGAGCTTCTGCCAGCCACACACACATAATAGGGAGCTTCTGCCAGCCACACACACATAATAGGGAGCTTCTGCCAGCCCCACACACATAATAGGGAGCTTCTGCCAGCCTCACACACATAATAGGGAGCTTCTGCCAGCCACACACACATAATAGGGAGCTTCTGCCAGCCTCACACACATAATAGGGAGCTTCTGCCAGCCTCACACACATAATAGGGAGCTTCTGCCAGCCTCACACACATAATAGGGAGCTTCTGCCAGCCTCACACATAATAGGGAGCTTCTGCCAGCCCCACACATAATAGGGAGCTTCTGCCAGCCCCACACATAATAGGGAGCTTCTGCCAGCCCCACACATAATAGGGAGCTTCTGCCAGCCCCACACATAATAGGGAGCTTCTGCCAGCCCCACACGCATAATAGGGAGCTTCTGCCAGCCTCACACACATAATAGGGAGCTTCTGCCAGCCCCACACATAATAGGGAGCTGCTGCCAGCCACACACATAATAGGGAGCTGCTGCCAGCCCCACACACATAATAGGGAGCTTCTGCCAGCCTCACACATAATAGGGAGCTTCTGCCAGCCCCACACATAATAGGGAGCTTCTGCCAGCCCCACACATAATAGGGAGCTTCTGCCAGCCCCACACATAATAGGGAGCTTCTGCCAGCCCCACACATAATAGGGACAGCCTCACACACAGGGAGATAATAGGTAATATATACAAGCTGCTCACATAGGAAGAAATCTTAAAATGTTTGCCAAAAACTTGAGTGTGAAAATTGTTCAGTTTCTGCAAGATACTCGAGGCAAAATTCCTGAGAAAATTGGAAATTGTTGGTCAGCGGCTCATGAGACCTTAATGGGAAAAGGGGAAAAAAACTGACAGTTTTCAATACCCATTAAAATTTGTTGAAGCAAATGGGGAGGATCTAACACACCCGCAAGTGGGAAGAAAATAGGGAAGAATTACTTTCTTCCCGCGAACAAAAATATGTAGTTTATTTCACATGCCCCCCCCCCTTTGGTGGGATGGGGGGGGGGGTTAAAATAATTAATATTGCATTTTGTATAAAAAAAACAGTTGAAGGATGAAATGTTATTAAAGCCTAAGCTGGTTTCAATAGGCCTACAGTAATTAGTGTGTTCCTCTTATTACCTTGAGCCTCGTATCCTGTCAATACTGAAAGGGGAAGTTGTGGAAGCCACCTCTACCCACATCTTAAAAGGCCAAATTCTACAAAGGACTCGAACGCCAGAACACTTAAAATACAAAACACAACAGGTGCATGACGTCTATTAGGCAGGCGCCAGATTCACAAAAGCACTTACGCAAGCACTTACGAACGTGTACATCTTTCCTCAATCTTTGACGGCTTTGCTTACATTTATTAAACAGTTTACAAACATGAAAACTTACCAATCAACTGTTGTTATTGTTATAAACAGCCTCCTGGTGCTTCGGAGCTCATTAACTGTTTAATAATTGTAAACAAAGCCGCCAAAAATTGAGGAACATGTACAGATTCGTAAGTGCTTGCGTAAGTGCTTTCGTGAATCTGGCCCCAGGGCATCAAGATTTGTAACCCCTCCCCATAGGCAGTGATAGGTAGATACCTGCATTAACCTACACCAGATCCCAAGATTACCACAATCACGAACCTTGAGGTTACCTTGAGGTGCTTCCGGGGCTTAGCGTCCCCGCGGCCCGGTCGTCGACCAGGCCTCCTGGCGATCGTAAACACTTGTACTTGATTTCGATACAATCCATTCATTTCCTTGTGCACCAACGATCTAGGTATCGTCTGGGCCGATACCTGCAGGAGATGGTTCACGGGAGATAACGTCTTAATGTAAACACCTCTGGTATTGTTCAGGCGCGCCAGGCATTGGTGGTTGGTGGGGTGAGAGCATGCCCACAAGAGCACGCCCTCAAGAGCACGCCCACAAGAGCACGCCCTCAAGAGCACGCCCACAAGAGCACGCCCTCAAGAGCACGCCCACAAGAGCACGCCCTCAAGAGCACGCCCACAAGAGCACGCCCTCAAGAGCACGCCCACAAGAGCACGCCCTCAAGAGCACGCCCACAAGAGCACGCCCTCAACAGCACGCCCACAAGAGCACGCCCTCAACAGCACGCCCACAAGAGCACGCCCTCAACAGCACGCCCACAAGAGCACGCCCTCAACAGCACGCCCACAAGAGCACGCCCTCAACAGCACGCCCACAAGAGCACGCCCTCAACAGCACGCCCACAAGAGCACGCCCTCAACAGCACGCCCACAAGAGCACGCCCTCAACAGCACGCCCACAAGAGCACGCCCTCAAGAGCACGCCCACAAGAGCACTCCCTCAAGAGCACGCCCACAAGAGCACTCCCACAAGAGCACTCCCACAAGAGCACGCCCACAAGAGCACACCCACAAGAGCACCCCCACAAGAGCACACCCACAAGAGCACACCCACAAGAGCACACCCACATGAGCACACCCACAAGAGCACACCCACAAGAGCACCCCCACAAGAGCACGCCCACAAGAGCACGCCCACAAGAGCACACCCACAAGAGCACGCCCACAAGAGCACGCCCACAAGAGCACGCCCACAAGAGCACGCCCACAAGAGCACACCCACAAGAGCACGCCCACAAGAGCACACCCACAAGAGCACACCCACAAGAGCACACCCACAAGAGCACACCCACAAGAGCACACCCACAAGAGCACGCCCACAAGAGCACACCCACAAGAGCACACCCACAAGAGCACACCCACAAGAGCACACCCACAAGAGCACACCCACAAGAGCACGCCCACAAGAGCACGCCCACAAGAGCACACCCACAAGAGCACGCCCTCAAGAGCACGCCCACAAGAGCACACCCACAAGAGCACACCCACAAGAGCACACCCACAAGAGCACACCCACAAGAGCACACCCACAAGAGCACACCCACAAGAGCACCCCCACATGAGCACACCCACAAGAGCACACCCACAAGAGCACCCCCACAAGAGCACACCCACAAGAGCACACCCACAAGAGCACGCCCACAAGAGCACACCCACAAGAGCACACCCACAAGAGCACGCCCACAAGAGCACCCCCACAAGAGCACCCCCACAAGAGCACCCCCACAAGAGCACACCCACAAGAGCACGCCCACAAGAGCACACCCACAAGAGCACACCCACAAGAGCACACCCACAAGAGCACACCCACAAGAGCACACCCACAAGAGCACGCCCACAAGAGCACCCCCACAAGAGCACCCCCACAAGAGCACCCCCACAAGAGCACACCCACATGAGCACACCCACAAGAGCACACCCACAAGAGCACACCCACAAGAGCACACCCACAAGAGCACCCCCACAAGAGCACACCCACAAGAGCACACCCACAAGAGCACACCCACAAGAGCACACCCACAAGAGCACACCCACAAGAGCACACCCACAAGAGCACACCCACAAGAGCACACCCACAAGAGCACACCCACAAGAGCACACCCACAAGAGCACGCCCACAATCAACACTTCTCAGTCATCCCTTAAAATACGGTTCTAGGAATATCCTCTAATAGGCTGAGGGAGGCTGGGTTAGGGGGTCCTGGGAGTACAGTCGGGGTTATTCTCCACTCTCAAATCGAGAATCCCGGGTTCGAATCCCGGGCGGCACAGAAATGATTGGGCGCGTTCCCTTTCACCGAATGCACCTGTCCACCTAGCACTTAGAAGCTACTCAGGAGTCAGCGTATTGTGGGGTTGAATTGAGGGGGGTGGGGGGGTGGGTGCAGGGGACCTCGACATAAGCCTAACATGTACAGAATGTATATGTATACACTGTATATATGTATACACTGGCTGCCTGTCCCCCCGACATAAAGATGAAAAAGCACAGCCACAGAAGATGAATGAGTCTCCCTTTAGTGATCCGTTTTCTATGGATCACAGTCGATTGAGAGGTGCTGACCACTTATAATAATCGGGGAAGCTTGTATATATATCAATATATATACTTTAGGCTTATATCGAGGTCTTCCCAAAGGTCAAACATTTGACCCCCCCCCAGGATGCAACCCCCCACAACTGTTGCCTAACTCCCGGTACCTATTTACTGCTGGGTGAACAGTTGCATTAGGTGAAGAGAAACGTGCCCAGTCGTTTCTATTCTGGGTTGGGTTCTGCCCAACTCGAGTCCCTCGGTTGTGAACCGTGGTGATGGTGTAAGTACTCACCTAGTTGTGCTTGCGGGGGTTGAGCTCTGGCTCTTTGGTCCCGCCTCTCAACTGTCAATCAACTGGTGTACAGATTCCTGAGCCTATCGGGCTCTATCATATCTACACTTGAAACTGTGTATGAAGTCAGCCTCCACCACATCACTGCCTAATGCATTCCATTTATTAACTATTCTGACACTGAAAAAGTTCTTTCTAACGTCTCTGTGGCTCATTTGGGTACTCAACTTCCACCTATGTCCCCTTCTTCGCGTTCCGCCCGTGCTAAAGGGTTTGTCTTTGTCCCACCCTTCAATTCCCCTGAGAATTTTGTAGGTGGTTATCATGTCTCCCCTTACTCTTCTGTTTTCCAGGGACGTGAGGTTCAGCTCCCTTAGCCTTTCCTCGTAGCTCATACCTCTCAGTTCCGGTTCCGGGACGAGTCTGGTGGCATACCTCTGAATCCTCTCCAACTTTGTCTTGTGTTTAACTAGGTATGGACTCCAGGCTGGAGCTGCATACTCCAGGATTGGTCTGACGTAAGTGGTATACAGGGTCTTGAACGATTCCTTACACAAGTTTCTAAAGGCAGTTCTTATGTTGGCCTCTAACTTGAATCTTATGTTGACTTTCTATCTGACTCTTGCAGGATATCATCTCCCAGATGGTACCTTGTGTTCAGCCTTCTGCTCCCTTCGCCTAATTACATTACTTTACACTTTCCTGAGTTGAACTTTAGTAGCCATTTTCTAGACCATTCCTCCAGTTTGTCCAGGTCATCCTGTAGTCTCTGTCTAACTTCATCTGTCTTGATTCTTCTCATAATTTTTGCATCATCAGCAAACATTGAGAGGAATGAATCTATACCCTTTGGAAGGTCGTTTACATATATCAGAAACAGGATGGGTTCAAGTACAGAGCCCTGTGGGACTCCACACAGATGCTGGTGTGCACTTGACCACATGTAAACCCTCATCAAAACTACTATTGTACCATATCCAGAACTTCAATACGAAATACATTAAATAGAAAACAAAGGTGTGTGAAAACATTTGAGTAGGACTGTGGACTCGAACCTGCGTCTCCCCCGAGACCTTTCCCATGGACCAGTATGTAAGACATGCGTGCTGGGTCACCTAAGCCGAGGGTTCGAGTCCACCGCCCGTGATTTGATAATTTGGCAAAATCATCAGTTCTGCCAAGCAATCGGATATCAGTATGTGATGGGATAACACAGACTCATCATTATTGTAATAAATATCTGTGTCCTCGCTTCCTGCAGTCACAGTTGTCTTAGAGGAGGTTAAGTGCCGCCAAGGATGACAGTCACTCACACAAGTGTGTAGTTAAAGACCTATGTGTAAAGGTTTAAAGTAGCGACACACAGGCAAGGAAATATGAGAGTAATCTGAGGAGAGGGGAGAAGGAGTAGCCTGAGCGGGGGAGGTGCAGAAAGCCAGTCACGAGGGGACATCGACCCAGGCAAACACTCTCCACTGATCCTTGAGAGGATTTCCCCTCAAAACCCTCCCTCCCTCCCTCCCGACGAGAGGGAGAGAGGGGGAAGGTGAAGGGCCAGATATAAGAGTCCCCCCCTCCCTCTTAGCGCCATCAAGTACCACTAGATATAAAAAACACACCGTTTTCTACGGAACTCCAGTAACCACCCACCCCCACACATACTCCCCTCTAGTATCACTACATATACAAAACACATGTTTGTACGGGGGGTACAAGATTCCCCTCCCCCTCCCCCTCCCCTCTCTCTCACTGGCACTAAGGTGCTACAGAACTCACCACCCCCCTTCCCTCAACCCCAAGAACCCCTCCCTCACCCTCCAAGATATTCAGGACACCGTTTTCTACAGCACCACCTCCCCCCCCCCCCACCGTCACTTTGGAATATAATATATTGTTTTTATCTAAGCAATAAATATTATCCAATTGCACAGAGTTTGTGTTATAGTCAGCCAAGATCCGACTGTCAGCCAAGATCCGGCTGTGAGTCAAGATCCGGCTGTCAGCCAAGATCCGGCTGTCAGCCATGATCCGGCTGTCAGCCAAGATCCGGCTGTCAGCCATGATCCGGCTGTCAGCCATGATCCGGCTGTCAGCCAAGATCCGGCTGTCAGCCAAGATCCGGCTGTCAGCCAAGATCCGGCTGTCAGCCAGCCACTTTAACTGACTTAATTTCACAGCACAAATTTGCATTGACGGGAGTAATTTGAAAATGTGTAGGCAATTTGCCCACACAAATGGAAATGTAATTCGTGAATACAGATGAGTTTGTTGTGAAGGGAAGCGGCCGAGGAGGCAAGAATGGTGGCCTTCCCTCCCCTCTCCCCCCGTGGGGAGATGGCCCTCCTCCCCTCGTGGGGAGATGGCCCTCCTCCCCTCGTGGGGAGATCCCCCTCCCCCCTTCCGAGGGAAGATGGCCCTCATTCCAGGTAGAATCGCCTTGAGGAGAGAGGGCCCAGACTCGAACCCCGGAAACAAGGCCGCACTTTATACAGACAAAATAAAATAAAAATAAAATGTTTATTCAGGTAAGGTACATACATACAAGAGATTTTACATAATTTGATCGATATATAGATGGAGCTAGTACATACAATGCCTAAAGCCACTATTACGCAAAGCGTTTCGGGCAGCTGATATCGGCAAAGAGCTGATATCTATTGAAACCTTGCAAAATGAAGCTATGCGTCTCATCCTTGGGGCTCCAAAGTCCACGAGAATAGTTAATATGAGAGCTGAGTTAAAATTACCTACCATAAGTGAGAGAATTTTGTCTATTAGCACAGTTTTCGACGTGAAGGCATTGAGTAGATCTAGACAACACATGAAGTTTCAAGCTAAACTTTCTAATATGCTGCACTCACCTGAGGTCTATAGAAGAAAAACGAAATCTGATTATGTATTTTGGTTCTACAAGGTAGCCAACTCCATCAAAATATTAAATATGTACCCAACTCAATTAATGATTAATCAACCAATTACTCCATGGGATAACTGGGATCTATCAGTTGATTTTGTAAATGCGCCCAAGAGAGATAGTGTACACTCTACATCATTAAAACAGTTAACACTGAAAAGCATCACTGAAAGTATTCAGAGTATGGGTAACGAAGTGTATCAGTGCTATACCGACGGCTCTGTAGAAGAAGGTGGACGATGTACCGGATGTGCATGTAACATATTTGAACAATCTTCTCTCGTACATACAGCAATGAAGCGCGTCAATGACTGGGCAAGTACAACTCAAACCGAACTTGCAGGCATATACCTTGCCACTGAATTTGTAAAAGACAAAGGCAGTGGACTTATATACTGTGACTCGCAGAGTGCACTCCTGGCACTGAACGCACATAGTAGTGACACCCAGAAAATAGTCAGTGATATTCGAATGAATGTTTTAGCCGCCAAAGAAAACAGATTTGAGATTAAATTCCTATGGATACCATCACATGTTGGCATCTCAAGGCATGACACTGTTGATATGCTTGCTAAGTCAGCCTGCAGAAAACCAGTGGTAGAAATTGATATGGGTGTTTCATTAGCAGTGACAAAGAGAATACTTAAACAAATATCTAATGAAAATCTCACCGACCTAACACATTCACAAAGACCTGAAAGTTGTAGCATTAAATATTATTATAGATATCGTGAGGAGACATTCACATATGGGACTAATAGAACAAGAACCCGGCAATGTGATGTTATAGTGGCCAGAATACGCCTGGGATATAGACGTATCTGGCAGCTTTCTCAAAACCCAAATGTCGAGTACACAATGTGTCAACTTTGTGAAAGAGAAAACATGCACTCTCTTGAACATTATATTGTAGAATGTCCCATACTGACTGACTTTCGCCCTCCCGGGCTAAGGTATGCTGAACTCTGTAGTTACTATATGAGTACTGGAACACTTGATGATATATTGGACTTGTACCCAAGATTGACCATGTAATATATCAATCATACAATGTATGTATGTGATGTAACTATATAACCTGAGCTTGTAAAAGCATCTTAATCACCTTCAGTGGTTAAGTGCTTAATAACACACTAGTTTCTCTATCAGCTATCTTAGCCTCTCAGAGTAGGAGACCCATAAATGTATGTGCATGTATGTGTGTGTATATGTGTATGTATGCATATATGTGTGCGTACGTATATGTATGTGTATAAAGTATATGTGGAAGCTGATCAGAATTACATTTCACCTTTGTAAATGCACATTAATGACACTATGTAAAGGGCACATCGACAACTTTATGTAGGGCATATGTAACTCTGTGTATCTATGTGATTATGTCTGTAGGTTAGCTTAGCATT